CCAAGTCAAAAGAATCCACCCATCAACCTATGCTTAGAGGAAAGGGGGGGTCCCCTGCCCCGACAGAGGTGGAGGAGTGGCTAAACGACACAAGAGCTCGACATCCAGACCTGGGCAGCTATAATTACATAATGACAGGGCTGTACAAAGATCTGTTGGAAGAACATCAAACTCAGCTAATTAAAGAACTGGGGCCTATTAAAAACTTTCTTTCAGAATGTTTGGGTTTGCTCACCTCCCTGATTGAACTAATCAGGAGGAAAGAGGATTGCCACTTTCACAAAGAAGCCATCAACAAGCCAAATGGAAATAAAACCCAGTCCAACACCAAAGAAAGGAAAACAAGCAGAGCCAAACTAGCCCAAGGAAAAGTACTGGCCACTAGGAAACCTTCCTTAAAGGGAAAGAGCCCAATGCATAAGAAGAAGCCGAAGAATGTGAAAATGGGTCGAAAGGCTAAGCTGCCCTCTCGGACTGGGAAAGTGAATTTCTCAAAGTTATTCAAGATTCTGGAGAACTCAAGCACAAAGAACTCCAACAAAACAACGCCAAATAAGAGCCAAAGCCCAAACATTTTAAATATACATCAGGTGGCTAGCCCTCCAAGGCTAGCAAAACAATCGCTGCCCTCTAGTGGAAAATTAAAGGAAACTCCAGATCCAAAGCAAGAAACTCCCCAGAAGGGAGTACAAAAGAGCCAGAACTTAATTTTAATTAAACATAAATTAGTCCTCCTCCCTCTCTTCAAGCATGGAGGCCTTTCCACGCTTGCACAACAGAGAATTTATTTACTTAAGAAAATTGACTTAGTCATCAGAGGCCTTATACCAGCAGGAAATATTGTCAGCGTTAAATTTCTTCCTTTTGATATGGCCCAAAACAGAGTTGTGGTGACCTTTAAGGACTGGTCGGTAACTAAACAAATCATGGACAAGAGGGACAGGCTCCAGAGGGCTGGCCTGTTGGTGACCCGCCTTTTTGAAGAGTCCGGCGTTCCACCATCCCTCTTAGGAACACGTAAGCCGACTAGTCTGCGCACAGAATTGGAAATGGCTTCTGAAAACTGCAAACAAGGTCAACCGGAGGCAGTCAAAATTTCCAAACAGAAGGCTAAGCTCCAAAAAACTTTACTCCCTTCCAATGAACCCAAAAAAGATATCTTAAATGAAAAGGAGATGCTCTTTCTAGCCTCCCTTGAGCAAATTCAACAGTCCCAGGATGCGTTAATAGCTAGGTTACAAACCATTAAAAAATCCTTATTCCGCCAAGGTTTTTCTGCTCCTTTGGAATTTAATTTTGCTACTAACACAACAAAGCCCTTATCCAACGAAGACTGGACGCAGTGCCGGTTCCTGTCCCCCGAAGAAGTGGGTTCTCCCACACAACCCTTAACACCTCAAACAACAACACACCAGGTAGACCTTGCCATGCCGATGAGTAGGAACGGTTCAATCTTTGTGGATGCCTCAGGATCCTTAGATGGCATTCAGGTGGAGGATTGAAAGACAGATACAGCGAGGGGACACCACGCCAGTGAAACAAAACTCACTAGGTTAGTACCTACCACAAAGGATACCAACAGCTCACTCCACCTCTACAAAAACATTCATTCCATCATCCTAAAGAACAAACGGAGAAGTCTACCTTTGTTCCCCTCACCACCATATTTTCACATCTTATCGTGGAATGTGGCGGGCTGGCTGTCTAAGCAGGGCGCTGCTGATTTTCTGGATTTTCTCTCAAAATTCCAGATTATTTGTCTACAAGAGACCTGGTGCCTAGACTCTCATCCCCCTTACTTACAGGGCTATGCGGCTTTTGCTACCCCTGCGAAAAACTAAATAACCGTGGCCGACCTAGCGGCGGTTTGGTCACTTTTATTCCTATAGAGCAAGGGTACAGGGTGCGACAACTGCAGTGGATGAAGAACAACAATTTTCAGATTTTACTTATCTCCAATAACACAGGAGGAGATCTTCTATGTTTCAACGTCTATATCCCCCGTGTGTACTTCCTCTCAGACAGTACAAATCTGGGAAGATTTGGAGTCATGCTTGGAGAAGGCCAAAATAGAATTCCCTGACTGGAACATCCTGCTGGCAGGTGACTTTAATGCCAGGATAGGCAGCGACATCAATTCGTATGGCTCCAAAACCCAGTTTCTACCAGAGGCAGACTGGCTTATCCCTTGGAGTTCTGATGAAAAGGTCTTGAACAAGGCAGGTATTACATTACTGGAGATTGCTTTTAAGCATAATCTGTACAACCTGCATGGTACTTACATGGACAGGTCAGGAGGTTTCTTCTCTTTTATCGGCCCTCGTGGTGCAAGTGTGATTGACCATATCCTGGTCTCTCCAACAATTTTGGAGAGGGTACAGGGTCTCAGCACTTTTAATAGAACTGAGAGCGACCATCTTCCTAGAGCAATCTCACTAACTCCCCTTGAATCAGGGGGATTACAACATCTACATTGTGCAGCCCCTCCTCAAGCACCGGCCCCACGCAGGCGTAAATGGAACAGCGAGCTGGAGCTTAAAATTAATCAACACCTGCACTCTCCAGATCTATTGGTTCTGAGAGACCAGTGTCCTTTACCTAACTTTGATCCTTTTTCACTATATCAGCGGGTCTCAGAGTCCCTTTTCCCATTTCTTATAAACACCAGGCCTCCCATACAACATAACAAATCGGGGGCCTGGTTTGACAAAGACTGCCGGAAGCTAAGATCCCTGCTTAGGAAACAACAAAATAAGGTAAAACAGGAGAGGACTTTGTCATCTATGGTAAATTTCCACAGATGGCGCTCTCACTATAAATACACCTTAAAACTCAAGAAATCCCTTTACAGGAAGAAACAATGGGAGGCACTTGATATGGCGATTAAATCGCGAGACGATAGAAAATTCTGGGCAATAGTAGCACAGGGAGTCTCATCCAAAGGAAAAATTGTAAACAGCAGTATTCCATCCGATGTGTGGTATCAACACTTTCTCAAGCTATACACACTCTCAAATACTGCTAATTTGAGTCCGCTCCTCCCATTGAAGAATGAGCATCTAGTTAGTTGGGATCCTGTTACGGAATCAGAGTGCCTACAGCTAATTAAAACTTTAAAAATGGCAAAGCTCCTGGCGAGGACATGATCCCCCTGAGGTTTTTAAATTAAATGCCCAATGGTGGGCCATCTTTTGGCCAAACTTTTACGGCAATGAACAACACATGTAAAATCCCAGCAAATTGGAAACTAAGTGTGGTAGTCCCTATCTATAAGAAGGGAGACATTCAAGATCCAGCAAACTACCGCCCTATAAGCCTTCTGGACATCGCATACAAACTTTATACCCGGTACCTATTAAACAAGCTGGTAGATTGGGCGGACCATTCTAACCTGTTCAACCAGGAACAGGCAGGATTTAGAAAGGGCCACAATACGATAGGTCACTGTATGGTACTACAGACCCTGGTAGCTAAATATGCAAAAGCGTATAAGAGCAGACTCTTTGTGGCCTTCGTAGACTTGACATCTGCCTTCGACTCAATCTGTAGAGATAGACTATGGAAAAAATTATATGAAACGGACATTGACAGACGACTTTTAAAAATTCTCAGAGAGTTACATACAGACATTACAGTCAAAATCAGAACTGGGCCATCGGGAACTCTTACGGACCCACTGCCATTGGGGAAAGGGGTCAAACAGGGATGCCTGCTAGCCCCATTTCTTTTCAACTTTTATATAAACGACATTGTCCAGTACATGGCAAAGTACAAGTCATCGGCTCCAGCCCTTGAAGGTAAACGCCTGAATATTTTGCTATATGCCGATGACATGGTTTTAATGGCACTCACCCGAAGAGGCTTACGCAGCATGCTGGAGGGGATCGCAGCCTACTGTTCCCATAATTCACTAAAGATAAACCATGATAAAACAAAAATTGTGGTGTTTACTAGAGCTCGCCACACCTTTAGATGGTCTTTAGATGAACAAGTGATTGAACAGTGACCTTTTTTAAATATCTGGGTGTTACATTCCAGGCTACATCTAGCTGGCTAGCCCACTTTAAGGCTGTAACCATCCTAACACGAAGAACAATTGGTGTTTTGCTTAGTTTCTTCCATACCAGGGGAGGACAATTGGTGATCCCGGCATTAAGAGCTTTCGTTGGGAAAGCTATTCCCCAGATGTTATATGGGATAGAACTCTGGGGGTGGAACCAGAGGCTGTTGGAACGGCTTGAAATTTTGCAAAACTACTATCTCAAGAAGATTCTAGGCCTTCCTCAAGGAACCCCAGCAGCCTTCTTGAGGGTGGAGGTTGGTTTACCCTCTGTGTCTGCCAGGGCCCACTTAAGATTCCTACGATTTTACATCAACCTTGCAAACTCTTCAAACACCTTATTGGCCAAACAAGCCTTCGTATCTTTTCAAAAGAATACCACTTGGCGCCAAAACTTATCTGAGATCCTGGTTAGATACACCCTACCGGAGTTTAATATCCTCAAACGGTGGAGCCCGGACAAAGTCCGGAAATGGATCCTGGAGAGAGACGCTCTGTTAGATACCACAAAAATACAGATCCCAGGGTCCTCCCACTGGCT